TGCCGCCGGAGGAGGTCGAGGACCTCGGCCTGGGGGAGCAGCCCCCGCGCCGCCGCGAGCGGGCGGGTTTGGCCCTCGCGGAAGTGGTGCCGCCTCGCCCGGGCCGCGGCGAGCCCGGCGGAGTCCGTCGGGCTCTGGAAGGGCGCCATCAGCGACGCGTGCGGGCCGAGCGCGCGGCGGATTTGGTAGTCCAGCTCGGACCACTCGGGCGGGAGGAGCACCGGCATCAGCCCGCCCCCTGGGGGATCCGCCGGGTCCGCTTCCCGGGCCTCCCCCTCCTCTTCGCCTGCTCCCTCCCCCTCGTCCGTCCAGCGAAAGGCCTCGGGGACGTTCGCCAGCTTCTTGTCGTGGTAGATCCGGCGGATGTAATCGCGGATGTTGTGCTTCAGCTCCCGCGCGCTGATCGCGTTTCGGCGGAACGCGCTGTCGCCGTCGTCGGTGCCGGCCGCCCCGCCGTAATCCGGGGCGAGCGGGACTAACGGCGGCGTCGAAGTCGGATTCACCGGCCCCGGGGGCGGCGAATTCGGATAAGACGCCGTCGGGGGCAAAGACGGGGCCTTGGCCGGCGGAAAGACGCTCCCGTAGCCTTCCGCATCGCTGTCAACCTCGATCGCCTCGGATTCCCCCACGAGCTTGGCCTGGTCAATGACCGTCAGGACGTTCTGCAGGAGATCAATGGTGGAGTCGTGCGGACGGCCAATGGTCGGCCCCTCATCCTCTTGGGATTCCGATAGCAAATCCAAGGACTCCTCCCGCACACTTAACACGGTTACCGAGGACGTGGTTGGGCCTGGCCCGTTCGCCGAATAAAAGGGATCGGAAATGGACTCATTCTGGTTTTTCTTGAAGGCATTGCTGTATTCTTTCGAATTCCAACAATTGGACGGATTCACCGTGGGGTTCATATTTTCGGTCAAACGCGCATAACAGCTATGCTCCAAGGCCTCCAGCGACGCGAAGAAGTTAATCCCTACGAGCTCTGGAATGAACTGGTGGGAAACAAGGTAAAAGAGCCTGAAGTCCGCATCAAAATCCTTGTATTCCATGGTGAAGTAGTACAGACAGGTAAGGAACTCGCGCACCCGTTGTGGTAGCTGGGAAAGCACTTCATCCTCATAGGCGGTGAACTCGGTATTCTTGGTGGAAGCCGTTGTATCCCGCTCTAGTTGCTGATCTTTGGTTTCGTTTTTTAATGGGGTGTTCCCCTTCAAAACTACCGCAAAGAAAACTCGACCATCACTCCACATTTCACTTTCATTCCGCGCGGTCGTCCCACGGACGGTGTAGCTGGTGCGCGGGGATTTAGCCAATGGGATGGGCACTTTGTGTGTAAAGCTATTGATCGGCGCCTCTTGCTCAACGAGTACGCACATCGCAAAATCGATGAGCGCACTCAGAAAGGTCTTACCGATTTGCTTTTCAGAGGACTTGCTCGTGACCTGCTCAGAGGCGTCATCGTCCTTCCCTTTCGAATACTCGGCATCCCAATCCTCACAAGGCATCGAGGACCACGTTTGATAGTTGCCGCTGGAGGAAGGCAAAGCCTTGGCTAATGGAAGGTTATCCACCAAACGACTGCGCATGTTTTGCTTGTAGTCGTAAAGACGTTGCTGCCAGAACGAACGAAGCATAAAGCGGAGAGTGCTCTGGTTAAATTCCTTCGAATTCGGTATGATCAAGTCCTCATTTGCCTTTATCGCTTCGGTAGGAATTCCTTTCTCGTTTTGTGGTGAGGCATCGGTTAGCAGAGAGGTCCCATCCCGATTTCGTAGTGGAAAAAGCAGGGAGGCAATGGTAAGCAACGGGAGGCGGGCTTTCATCGGTTCGGAATTCAAGGAGCAGACATCACCATGATCGATATGCAAATAGTCAATCGAAAACGGATTATACCACCGGAGTGCTCGGCAGCACGTAACCCTTGCGATATTCGTTCGAGAACCCTTGAGACTCCGCTGACGCGAGTTCCCTTCCTTGACAACCCCTAAGGTACTGCACATCCACGTGTAGACCACACTAGGGTTTAAAATCGAATCCATCAACATGCCCCCTTTTGGGGTCTGAACAAAGGCTAGATAGCACCCTTTGTAGAACCGTTGCGAAATATCCAACGTGGAGGACAAAAAGCGATACCCCGCCGTATGTCGCTGCAGGCGAATAAACAAAAGACGAGACCACACTGAGTGATCTGCCAGCAAAAAATCGGCGTACGACATCGCCCCCGAAAAGGTTCCGATCTCCTGACAGCACCACATGAGCTTTTCGTATTTCTCCTCCAGTGAAGTCTGGCGCTGCGCCGTCAGGTTGATGTAGGCATCCCGCCGCGCAATCCGACGCTCCAGACGCTCGATGTAAAAAAAGGCATCGCTGATGTGGTTGAGCGTCTGATTGGCCTCGCTTTCGGAATTTTCATAGGCTCGACGGACCTCCTGCATCGCCCACTCGGTTTCGCGCCAAAGGGCGTTTAACTGCGCGATTTCCTCCTTCGCCTCGCTCAGAAGCTGAGGGTAGTTTGTGATGGCATCGCCATCCACTTGCGAAGTCGAATGCGGTTCGCCACTGATGGAATTCAAAAGGGTATGCTCGGAATGCAAAGATTGGATGATCGGGGATGCCATACGGCAAGTTGAGGTCGTTTTCATCTCATTTGCATGGGATACCCAACTCTCCATCTCTTTTTTGGATACTTTTAGCTGCTCCGTAACATTTTTATGCGCCTCTTTCCACCGATCGAGCTCCTCTTGCATCTCCACAATCTTACCACTCAGCGTCTGATTATCCTCCACAAGCTCGCGGACCTGAATGCATTTGGAATTATAAACCGCCTCTAATTGATTAATTTGTTTCCGAAGGTAGGAAATCTCATAGCCGCCGGTATCGATAAGAAAGCATTGGTGCGAAAAGGGCCCACTGGTGGAAAGGTCCGGCAGTGCATCCTTGACCACTTTGTCATAGGAATCCAAGTTTTCGTGTTGTATGGACAGCGATTCGCTAAAGACTTCAGGGTTACTCAGCGGCGGTTCACGCCGATTGACGATCTCAAGGTGGGAGCCCACGGCCTCTTTTTCTCTTAGAATGGCACTGAATTTAGAATTATCGCCTGACCTATCCGGTGTAAACGCGGATACCGATTCAGGGTGCAAACTCAAGGTGCCCTTCGCATGGATTGGGTCGGAGCCGTGGTACCCAGGCGTCGTCATCGTTTTATCGACGAAATTATCCATCCCCGTTCCGCTACTTCGCATGCTGTTGTCCCAGCAAATCACGTTTGCCTCGTTTTCCTTCCGCATCGCCTCCCAGAGGACGTTCCACATATGAATCGGCAGCGCTTTATCCCCGTCGGGGCCCGAGGACGGCGCGCTGGCGCCGTAGGTCTCCTCCTTTCGGTCGCGCAAAACGGTCTGGCGGAGGAGCTGCTCGAAGCCCTGCAGGGCGGGCATAAACGTGACGTTGGCGTAGCCGAACGTTCCGCGGCCCTCGCCGTTGGGGGGGGCTCGGCGCGGGGATTTCCCGGTCTCCCCGTGCGGCGGCCCGAGGCTTCGGATCTGCGGAAGCGACGCGTTCGGGCGGCCGGGGGCGGGCTTGGACCTCCCCGGGCGGGCCGCGGTGTAGCCCGCCTCGCCGTCCACAAGGGCGAGCTCCGCCGCCTTGAGCTCCATCACGTAGCGGACCTCGCGGCCGAGCAGCCCCTGCAGGTCCGTCCCGTAGACCTCCGGGTGGAGGCCGAAGTAG